TTAGCCTTAGGTAAGTTAGATTTTTCTCTATCTTTTCTCTTCACCCAGAAAGCATAAAACCTACAACCACATGTCCCTACCTTACCCAACGCATACTTTTGAAAACAGATTATCAAGCAAAAGAGAGATAAATTATCTACATAAAAACTAACTCTTAGTGACAACTAATGTTCAACTTACAGCAGAATAACAAAATGATCTATCTGTATACAAGTAACAGTAATTATTAAAAAATCGAATAAAAAAAATTACTTTTGACTATTTAAAATTATTGCGGTCAATAATGGAAACTTGTTCAAACAAAGATACTGGATGTTTTATCTTTGGACCCTATCTCAAAATCAGTACAGTTTAGCTGTAATGATGACAGTCACAACCGTACCCTGGCACAACCGTAGTCAGTCTTCTCTACAAATAACACAATTAGAATTACACAATTGAACATTTAATTGATTTTCCTGACTGGTAATTATGGTGGATTACTAGTTATTATGCAAATATGATAGTAGTATATGAGATGTAATTCATAGTTAAACTATTGACCAATGGTATTGGCAATTTTATAGTGTATTTGATTTTTGTAGTAGCGGTAAGTAAGTACATGTTGTAAACCATACAATCTGGTAAATATATCAGAAGCAATAATTTGCAGGATTTAATTATGTCAAGTATACGATGAATTAAATGAGGAAATAAAAATCATGCCCTTATTTATTTTAACAATTTACTAAATTGGAATAATAATTGAGTTTACGTATCACGCATAAAATGCAAATGCAGTATTTATTTACAATACTGTTATATATACGCATACATTAATTTCATATTGCTATGCTTAGTTTTAAAACTTTTGCAATTATATAGTTTCCAGTTATAAATACTACAATTTCACGCATTAGTTAAAAACAAATTATACATTATAAACCAATTACTGTTTAGTACCACTCGAACATATCAAAATAATCATTGAATTATTCAAATAATGCTTAAATTATTATTAGAACCATGCTATCCTTTATACGCTATTTCAATTGAAATAATCGGATTCATATTGCACGAATTAAGAATTTTCATATGTCATAATGATAATATGACAAGTTCTGTAATTACCTGTACAAGCTATATTTTTTATATTTAATTTTTGGAAAAATTGTTACTGGAATTATATTTTATAAGATAAGCTAATTTAGCGGTTACTGTATAATTAATTATTATTTGATCATATGTAATATATAAAACTCTCAACACATTAGCTCGCTTATTAACAAAAAAACTCTAGACTTCATTTTCTGTTAAATTTGTTGAATATAATTAAACATCGCGCATACAGCAAGATATTTTTTTCATTGCTAATGGGGTAATCTTTTGAGCGGTAACGAACGTTTAAAACGAACTGCGCACTGATTAAAGCAATTCACACTAGAACGCCACCGAATTTAAAATTCCATTAGCAAAGTGCCGGCCTTGCTATGCTAATAAACATCAGAGCTACAGATTTGTGAAAATCTCTTTCATTTTCTCCTCATTCCAAGAAACCGAAGAAAAATCGAAACGGCCGGTAAAGTTTCGTATTACAAAATGTAACGATGCAGTATAAAGTTACAAGAAAATATAGGCGCGGTAATTTAAGACACTATAAATTAGTGAATAATAACTATGCAAATGGAAGTATATTTTTTGGATTATAAATAACTAGAAGGTATCTTAAAAGTAAGTTGTTCAAATTGGTTCGTACATTAAAAATATTTAAGATTTATACTATATTTACATAAATTATCATAGTAATGTGAATACATATGCTTATCGATATTAATTTATGTATGTAATGTACGATACATCTGAGGTAATATAACAATCTTAAATATAAATGCATAATTTCATATTAGGTTCGTAATCTTAAGTGTACATGGCGTCTCCACCGTATAGTCAAAACTGTTCCAGTAAACTGCAAATCACCTTACTATGAACAAAACAACTAATTATTCATTAAAATGTAAGTATTTTATCAAATAAGTTCAGTAATATGCGTTAATTTTCAAACATATGACAATGACACAGTTTGGAAAAATAACCAAATGCATTAATATAATATTTGCTGTTGCAAGGGGTTTATTGAAAACACAATAATAAAATATTGAAGTAAAAATAATGCGTCGTATAAATTTTTAAAAACGATTTATTCAATAAATAAAAATATACCTACGATAAAAATTGAAAGTTATGAAAATGAAAAGTTTAAATTTAAATTTAAGTTCAATTTTTGTTACATTGGTTTATATATAAAAAATATTGATTTGAAATAAAAATTGACTAAATAATAAGAATATTCGTGATATATATGTTTTATACCTTTCTCTTATAATCACTAATCAATCTTTGCCTTGAAGATTTAACAAAATCATAACATGAAGCAATTCCAGCAGAAATTATATGGGTAAACGATACCTTTTAAAGTGCAATAAATGAGTAAAATTCAAGAAACTCAAAAAAATATTCATGATTGTAGATAATGATTGTGAACTGTAAATGTCGACTGTTAAAATACCTGAAGATTTAAAAATAAGATTTTGACCATTTGAATGATCAAGCTTACAGAGCTTTGAAACTATGTAAGTTTAAAAGAAGAGACAAATATAGAGTAATATTTGTTTAGTATCTCATTAGGATTCTTTAGGTACGAGATACTGAACTTATATAATAAAACGTTAACTTGTACATTTTCCGTAGTAAGTTATAAAACAAAGTATAAAATTTTTATATAATTTAAAAACTTTATTCTTAGCTTTCAGCAAATCTCCTGCCCGGAAAAAAAGTCAAACTCACCGCTAGTGTGTATTTATTCAGAGTCGTTTATTCCAAGAAACGATTTTTCCACCGAACCAATCTCTTCTGGAAGATTGATCACTTGGACTTGATGTCAAGAAAAGTTCAACACTTTTACTACCTTTTTCTGACTTCACACGACCACTTAAATAGCATATATTGGATATGACTTGCGTTTGTATTTTATTTTCTCCTTTGCCATTTTCGCACATATGAAATGTTATTTGTATCATTCAGCATACGTATATTTCGAGAAAATGAAACAAATCGTATTGCTATACAACATTGTGTTCAAAAGATTTTATGCATAAAGAGAGGAGAGATGTATTTCAGTATATATATACTGATCGACTTGAATATATTAATTTTATGTATT